TGGAAGCCCCTCCTTTCACATTGCAACTGTACTTTTTAATTTTTCACTTTTGTCCTCCAAGTTTCCTTAATCTATTTCCCAAGCCAAGAATGCCTTTTTTTTTTTCATTTGATATTGGATTCCACTTTTGCCCTCATAACTTTGCTTCTCCATTTCACCTGTTATGGGGAGCATGTTAGTCATTTTGTGACCTCTTGTTGTTGTGCCTTCCTATCTTTGTTTCTCCATTCACATATTGGGGTGGTTTGTAGGTCATTTCAACACAAAGGCAGGTTCTTCTTTTTCGCTCGTGTTTTGGCAATGCTTTGGTTGATCGATTTCCATTTTCGTGTTTGATTTAGTCTTCTAAGACTAATCTTTGGTTGTTGATTCTGATTAAAGAGGAAAATAGCCTTCCACGCTTTGGCTGAATTTTGAGATTTAAGCACCGGAACGCCAATACTCCTTATGGTTTTGCATTCAACCACCATTGTAAAATCTTAGGGAGTGTTGTTTTTCTTTTGGTGCTCTTTGCTTGGTTTGTTCTAATGTTTGGAGTGAATTCTAATTTCTCATAGGTAAATATTTTTTGCTCTTTGTTTTGAATTATTTCTATTGTGCAGACTTTGGGTGTCAATAGGTAAATTTATTCCAAGCATCTACTGTTGATTTTGACAGGAATGGTGGGTACTAAGATTTAAAAGGTGGGGTGTTTTTTTTTTTTTTTTTACATCGACTTAAAGAAAATTAGGCAACAAACCTTATCGGGATTCCTTAGATTAGTGTCTACAAGAGAAAATTTCTTCTTTACTTTATTTTTTTTCCCATATTCGGTTTCTTTTATTTTCACAAAAACTCTTAATTCCCTTTTTCTAGCATGAAGGAGATGAAGAGCAAAGGGTTGCTTTGTGAAGAAAAAGGACGAGTGGGTGGGTTTTGATTTTGGGATTTGCTAAGTAAAAATTTCCTTTGCTCTGTTTTATTTCTTTTCCCTAATTTTCATCATTGGTACTTGACGGAATGGTGAGGAAAAAAGCTACTCTTCCGTGTTAGATTTGTGTAATTGATAAAAGGAAAAGTTGAGTATAATAGAGAGGAACTATCCATATGTTGGAAGTGAAATGGAAAATTGACAAAGGGAGGTAAGGAAAATGTTTTGAACAAAGGAGTTAGTTGAGAAAAAGATTAGTTTTTTTGTCATTGTGCAATGTGCTGTTAGTCTTAATGGAGAAAGATGAGCAAACATAAAAAGAGAAAAAGCATTCCTTGAGTGAAATATTAAATTTTATGACTGTAAATAAATTAATGACATGTTTAATTATGTTACCTTTTCATGTTTATTGGAGAACTAGAAATGGCCTTCTTTATTTTCTACTTTAGGTGTCCTTACCTCCTTTTATTTGACCATTGCCCAAAGGCAAGGTAAAAAATTAATTTGCTTTTGAACTTTTGCCATGAATCAGTTAAATTATTGAAAAGGAAGCACGATTATATAATTTTATGGCTTCTTGGGGTTTGCTAACACTAGATTTTTCATGTTCCTTTTGTTGTGTATAACATTATTACTAATATCAAATTCTTCTTGATTTTTTTTTTTTTTTTGTATTCATATGGGTTTTTTAGTTGTTTTGCCCTTAATGCTTTGTGTCTTTCTTTGTTTCTTGGAATATGGCTTTTTAGGTCTTTATGCTTTCTTATGTTTTGTAGTGTTTAAGCTGATCTATTTCCTCTTCTGTGTTTTATTTAGTCTTCTAAAATCTTGCCTTCGATCATTGATCATGGAAGAGAAATTCGTGTTTTTGATTCCCAAATCCCCTATCTAGCATGAAAACCCTAGATTTATTTCCTCTCATTAACATCTTTTTCGCCTGAGGTTAGAATCAAATGCCCTTCATCTACACATCGAGAAGAGAAGTTGAGGTGAGAATGTTTAGAATGTTATGGATTTAAGGTCAAAATAGTTAAGTAGCATCTAGAAAGGTGAGTATAAAGCTACCCAATCCAAGCATTTTTGCTTTTTCCATTTTCTTCTAGCTAGGTTTTGTTGTTTGTTTTCTGGTGCTATACGACAAGATCATTTTTATGGTTGTGTTAGGTTTTCCTCTTAACTCTACTTGAATTATCCAACTTTTGTTGATTTCAATCCAATTTTATAACTTGAGATTATACTGAATTTATTTTCTACCGAAGAATATTCCCTCGAAATATGGTTTAAATTTAGGATCAAATAGTTTTCTCTATGTTGGATGATATTTACTGATCACAATATTCAGAAGAATATGGTGAGATCTCAGGGAATTTGAAATATGCTTTAGAATATATTTTATTTTCTATTTTATGTTTAGATATTAGAAGCTTTTGTGTTGTTTTTTTTTTATTTTTTTATTTTTTATAAACATATGGAGAAAAAGATTAATTCTTTGTCATTGTACAATGTGCTATTAGTCTTAGCGGAGAAAGATGAATAAATAAAAACAAAAGAAAAAAGAAAAAGCATTCCTTGACTAAAATATTAAATTTTATATGATTGCAAATAAATTAATGACATGTTTAATTATGTTACCTTTCCATGTTTATCAGAGAATAGAAATGGCTTTCTTTATTTTTTGCTTTACGCCTCATTGCCTCCTTTTATTTGACCATTGCCCAAAGGCAAGGTAAAAAACTAATTTGCTTTTGAACTTTTGTCATGAATGATTTAAATTGTTAAAAGGGAAGCGTGGTTATATAATTTGGTCCAAAACTTGCCTTGAAATGGAAACATCTATTTGACAAATTAGAAGCCAGTGAAGTTGTGTAGCCTATTGATGAGAATGTGGGCGGGGATCATCATTTAGTTGGCGGTTTAGTATGGACTGAAAGTTTGTCATCATACATGCTATCATGCTCACATGAATTTTCTTCTAAATGAAGTAATTTATTAACTTTTTTATGTGCTTTTTACTAAACTTTTGAACCATAGTCAAACAAAAAAGGAAAAAGTCAAAAAATTTACTATTAAAAATGATAATGCTGAAGTTGCATCCTTTGAGTTTGTTTCTAGAGATAAGCACAAATTTAAAAAAGGTGATATAAACATTTTTTTTTTATTATTCTTTGTAGAATATTTTGTATTTAAGGATGAGTGTGAGAAGGATTAAAAGTTGTTGTTAGATTGTTGTGGTGATGTGTTTGATACTTTTTTTTGTTTGCAAGTGTTGTAACATTTTTCTTTAATGCTATAGAAAATACTAGAAAGCTACAAGATATTGGCTCACCTATTTACCGGTGTGAATTTTGTGGAGCTATGTTTTGGTATGACAAAAGAGTAGGTGAAGGGTAGAATGTTGCAAAACCAAAATTCACCATTTGTTGTCATCGGCATCAAATCAAGATTCCATATCTTCAACAGTCTCCACCAGAACTTGATGAGTTGCTTGATTATGATGGTGGGGAGATGACAGACAATTTAAGAAAGCACATTAGAGCAATGAATACAATATTTGCATTTACATCATTTGGAGCTAAGGTTGATAAAGAAGTTACCAACAAGCCAGGCCCATGTTGTTTTAAAATATT